ATTCAAATGCTCTCCTAAAATAAAACTATTTACTTGTGAGGCTGCAGTGAGACAGTAATGGTGAGATGAAGCCGGGTTTTATTCTGGTTGGAGAGCAGGTCTATGTTGTTTTAGATATGGCTGTCCTTTTTCTCTTTTTTTTTTTTTTTTTTTTTACTTTCTGTCAGGGATCTGTTCCTTGTATTATACAAACGTTTGTAATTTACTGCAAGTGCACTTTAAGCTTTGTGTTTCTCTGTGAATTTGAAGGACCTTAGTAAACAGATAAAATAACATGGTACGGAAGAGAGATGTCACCGTGTCCTGCACAGTGACCCAGCTGTGTCCTGTCATGACACAGAAGCAGTGGGAGCAAAGCACAGGCTATTTTCTGGTTGTTTAAATGTACTGTGGAATCAAAGAAAATGCCCCCAAAGGCACATTTTTCAAATGTGTTGCTCCATCTGATGTTCTCTCCCTCTTCAGGATTCATTCAAAAAGCCAAAAACCCCCCAACAAAACCCATCCTTTTTTTCAATTGAAAACATCAAATGAAAACTGAAATTACACTGAGAGTCTTTCTAACTCTTTAAATAACTTGGTTGTTGAATGGTCCTGTCCTTTTCTTTAAGGGAAAAGAAAAAAAATTGCAGTGTTGGGGAATGAAAAATCATTGTTATTTGGTTGGTTTTTAAAGGTTACGGAGAACCTATTGGAGTATCATGAATTGTACCCTACATTAACTCCAACATTCATGGGGCTTTTCCATAGATTGCAGTGTTCTAAAATGTCTTGATTAAAAATTTCAATTTTCAGAGAGCATTTTAATAAGCATTTAATATCATATAAATGATAAGGTTAAAGCTACTAATATAATAAGGAGTATTATGAAGTGTTTGGACAATTTTTTAAAGAAACATTTTTTATCCATAAACTTGTATTAATTAGATAATTTTTTCTTTTTCTATCACAAATTTAATTTTTTGAAATTGTAATTGAAAACCAGTGTTGTTGTATTTTGATGCTCACAGACATTTATTTTTCAATTTGCTCATTTTTTTGTTACAGCAGTGTCTGTTTGCTTCCAGTAAAATTCCAACTATTGTACTTTATGATCTTCTGAAATGTGAACATCTAAATTTTGGGGGCAATTCTGTGTTGGTTTTTAATATCCTGATACTTTGGCTTAATTCCCTTGAATTTTGTAGTGATCCTTCTGTCATAGTTGCTTCCACTTCCTGATTGTGGTTTCTCTCATAATTGTACTGGAAAAAGTTGCATGCAGAGATTCATAATCTCAGTGAGGATCTGTCCAAGCAGAATTAAAGTGTGTGTTTTAAAAGGTGTTCTCATTATCGTGTTTTTAAAATACTTTACAGGTCAGGTTTATACTTTACAATGGTCTCATTTTTGAGAGAGAGGGTTGAAAAAACTGCTGATGCCTTTGGGGCAAAATACAGGAATTAATTACAGTTCCTTGACATGGTTCTTTGTCTGGATTTCAGAAATTTGGGGAATAAAGTGGCCTGTGTACAATTAGAAGAAAAAAAAATCTTTGGTGTTCTGTGTAAAATCTTAGCATGATTTTTAAATGGTTGAACAGAAATTTGGGGGTTCTTCTGCTTGGGACAAAGTCCTGGACTGACATCAGATCTGTAGCTGTGGTGCATCATCAGCCAGGAAACGCCTGTCTCAGGTAACAGGTGACCTCTGAGGAACAGGAATTTTGCATATATATATGGTTTTAAAAAGGTTATCTTGTGTATAGGGCTAAAAGACATATTGTCTTTCAAAATATTAATACCTGGGTGTTTTGTCAGAACAGTTAGTGATGAAAATTGGAATTTTATCCTTTTCCCTCTGAAAAACACTGAATTTTCTTAAGGTGTTTCCTTATGCAACCTGATCTTGAAGATACTGTAGTGCCAGTTACTCTAGGTTGAAAATGTAAGAATCCATTTAGTTATAAATGCCTGGGTTTAGTTGGAAAATTAATTAGCTGAGCTGCATATCAGATGCAGAGAGATGAAGGTCTTACTCAGGATTAATGAGGAAAAAGAGGGACTTCAATGACTGCTTTAGTTTACTATTTTTCTTGTGTAGTTGCATCAAATTATGGCAATATTCTTTTGGAAGTGCTGTGTAATTGTAAAAGACAAAGATCAAAACAAAGCAATTGCTCCTTAAGAGCAAAGACAAATAAAATGTACAGGGAAGGATATTTTGAAAACTGTACTTTGAACATTGTACCTTAACCACAACCTTGAAAACTGTTTTACGGCATTCTTGTGTAGTGACTTGCTGTTCTTAAATCTCTCAAACCAAAATAATGGGAGTTTTCATATAATCACCGCCTTTTGAGAGGCGGCCACTATTTGCTTAGAAGTTACTTTCATTTTCATTGTAGAGTTTCACAGCGTTTTGCAGAGCAAATGAAAACTACAAGTTAAAATTAAAAGTGTTTCACTTTTCTAAACTTACCATGTGGATTTAAAATCCATTTTCTTATCAGTTGTGTGCCTGAGTGGAGCTGTCACTGACATCCATGGGGACACTGATCACATCAGTGTCACTGCCATTTTGTGTAATTTCCATGTTTGAAGGGCTTTATGACTGTGATGTGACAGTGACTGAGAGTAAGAGCAGATGAGTTTTGCTGCTTTTTCATCAGCAGATGAGGGGTGGGAAGCCACAGCTTCCAACACGAGCAAGGGGAGGCTCTCAGCCCTGGTGTTTTCTGTGCCCAGAGGCAAAAAGGGAACCTGAAAGGTCTGTTGTTTTTCATCTCGGGTGCCTCAGGAAGTGAGGGGTTCTAACATTAGCAACTCCGGTCGTGCTGACCGTTCTTCACTGAAAAGAACATCAGGGGTGGCTGGGAAATGTCATGGATTAAGGGCTTCAAAGATAGCACAAGAGCATCTCCACTAGTGGAACCACAGGAAGCTTCCGGCAGATGGAGAGAGCCTCTCTCACACCATGCTTTGCACAAATTGAGCTATATTGGATTAAATCTAAGTAACTGTGCCCATTTTTTTGCATAGAGGCAGCCTGAGAAACACTTCTGAGTGAGTACCTTTGGCAGTGACTCATCATCTACTGAGTGGTGAATAAAAGCATGTGCTTATTTCCATGCTCCCTTGGTGGGGGAAAAAAAATAACTTTTATTTATTCATTGTAACAACATCAAGAGAACAAAGCTTTTTCTTTGAAGGTCACTTGTAACAGTAATGCAAAAACAAACAGTAATATTAACCCTTCACATTACTTCTACACCACAATTAATCACAAAATACTGACAACACTATTGAAAAACTTCCTTTTTCAAGACACTTGCCGTTTTCCTCCATTGTCCAAGTATTTTGTAGAAAAATTACTCTTTCACTTAAGGGAGAGATAGTCTCATGTACATAATTAATTTTAAAATCAAAACAAATTGGGCTTTATACCCTCAGCACAGATACCAGATAGAACATCTGGTGATGGTAGATTTTTTTCTGAAAAATAACTTGTATGTTTTTAAAGATTTATTTTCCATTGCAAATATGTAACTTCATTATGAGATGAAGAGATGAAAAATTGCCATTTCCATTTTTAATGCCATGAAAACATTTGAAAAGTATATTGTGTGTAGGGACCAATTTGTACCCAGTTAATACTGACATACTCTGTTTCATGTAATTTCTCTGCCATGAAAAGATTTCCATGTAATCCCTGTTTCTATCTGGTGTACATGGGGGCTGATCCAGCAACATCTGAAGGAAAAGGCAGAACCTGAATGGCAACAAATACTCCAAAAAAGATATTTACAAAGAGTATATTTATCATCCCCTTTGAATTGTTTTATGTTTATCATCCCCTTAAAATTGTTTTTATCATCCCCTTTAAATTGTTTTATGTTTATCATCCCCTTTAAATTTTCATACACTAAGTGCAAAGCTAAATAACATCGCAGTTATTTGTTAGGCAATGTCAGATTCAGTGAACTTTGACTGAAGCTGCAAGCAGACATAGTACTGACTGAGCATTTTCAGAAAAAAAGTATTTCAGTATACAGAAACTCACATTACACAGACACAATTTCAACACAACTACTTTCTGTAAACTATGACAACATAGAACACATTCACTTTTTCTCAATAGAAGATGAGATCTAAAATGCTAAATGCAATCCAATATCTATGGGATGCACACAAAGACAGAGCAATGTTCGGAATTGTAGAACAATAAAAGCAAAGAAAGATGGGTTTTTAGATAGAGATGATAAAAAATAACACAGTAGCTTGGGGTCTGCAGAGGAGTGTTTTCTACCCCTAACACATTCAGTTCTCTGCTTCTAATTAGGCAAAATGTGGATTTCCATCTCCCAGGTGAGTTTTGTAGTTAGAACCACAGAATGGTTTGGGTTGGCAGGGGCCTTAAAGCCCATCTTGCTCCAACGTCCCTGCCATGGGCAAGGGACACCTTCCACTAGACCAGGTTGCTCTGAACCCCGTCCAGCCTGGCCTTGGACACTTCCCGAGATGGATATTCTGGGTAACTTGTGCCAAGGCCTCCCCACCCCTGGGTTGTCTTTTTTTAGGTCTGTCTGAGCAGGAGGAGAGAGCTTTTCCCTACTCCCAAGCCTGTGTGTGAAGTGCCCTTGCTGAAGAACACTTGATGTGCCCCACCATTTGTACCCTGGTGAAAAGGGCTGTGACTGGGGACAGAGAGCTCCTGTGTGACCTGGAGGTCTCTTTTGGGGGGAGTGCAGAGCTGCAGACAGTGACAGACCCTTGTTTAGATACAGGCTTTGCCTCCCCCACCCTTTCTCTTCTGAGAGGAGCAGATTCCAGCAGGCCAGAAGCTTGAGCAGCCCAAAGTGGCTGAGACGGCTCGTTGAGAGTGTGAGCAGTTTTTTTGTGTCACACTCGGGGCTCGCTGTGCTCCATGTGGGTTCCTGACAGGGCTGCCAGGCTTTCTGTGCTGACCTGCAGTACCCCAGAGCTGTGCACCACCTGCCCCAGGGCCAGCCAGGCATCTGAAACACGCTCTCAGTCTTTAGCTGGAATTCCCTGGGCAGCACAGCTCTGCAACATGAGTTTTATTGATTATTTACATGGAGTGAAGTCACAGAAGCAGGAAATACTGCCTGTGTACACCTGCCCCTGCACAGTGATGTGTGTGGGTTTTCTGGGTATTGTACAACCTGGACAAAGTCAGGCTGGTGTTCAGCATCACAGTCTGCTGTTTCAGGTTTTCAAACTCCACGTGTATGACCTCTGTGGCTGCAAAAAGAGTACCTGTTTGGGAAAATCTAGGAGTCATATTTTACAACCTACAATTGCAGCTGCAGTGCTTAAGAGGTGTTGTGGGTTCAGTCTGTCACAGATAAGATGAAAACCTTAGAAAACCAAGAAAATAAATATTCCTCAGCTTGCAGAAAGCAGTCTCATTAAGTGTGTCTTTTCATGTAGTCTTTAAGCTGTTCAACTCATCCCAAGGCAGAGAGCTTTACATCACAGACCTGCTCTACTTTGTGATATGCACCATTACAATCAGGTAGTGCAGTGAATATTTACATATCAAAGAGTTTGTAGCCCCTTATCCCCTGTTAAAAATTCAGTAATTGCTTAATCTGCTCAGACTGTAATCTGCTCATATGGCCTCCTGCGCAGCAGATTGGTGTTTTTGGTCATTCTAGGAAAAGCGGGTGCTGCTGGCCCTAACTGTGTTTGCCCACAAGAAATCATCCCAGAAACTGTGTTTATGACAGTGATCTCTTCAACTTGGGAATGAGGGTTCGCATTCAGGGGTGGCAGATAACCTGGCCGTGTCTGATCCAATGCTAAGGCTCCTGACCCTTGTCCTTCTGGGAAAGTCTGATTTCTGCGTTTCACATTAACAGGTGGCATATTCTCCGGAACTTCTCTGGAACTTGGTAACAAGGAGTGAGACGGAGAAATAATCTCTTTCTTTCCTATTGCTGACTTACTGTCTTCTGCAGCAGCAGCAGGACTTAAACTAGCAATTAGCTGAGAATCAGAACTCTCATGATCTGGTTTTGCATTTTTGTTCCTGAAAAAACTGCTGAGGTTTGAAATTAAGCTGATTTGTCCAAAACTGACACTCTGACCCATGGGAATCACACTTGGGTTATGTTTCTCTTCAACAAAAGGAGTCTGATAGTTTATCTTGTCAGGTGGTGGTTTCCTGGACCCAGTTTCATCAGAGGTTTTGAATACCTGAGCAGTGTCTTTCCTGTCAATACTTCGGGGACTGGTGTTGACTCTCTTTGATAAGCCGAGGCCACTGACTTTACAAGAGAGCTTTTCTATTGGAGTGATACTCTGAAGTTCCTGTGAAGAAGTGATTTTCCTCTGGTGAAATACTGCTGGGCAGCAGTTTATCCAAGGCTCACACTCCAGTTGCTGCACATGGGTCAGCTTGAACCGCCCCTGTGTCGGGCTGGGTTTCATCGTCAGTGACTCTGTTTGAGATAAGCTGTCCCCCTGCTGTGGAGAATACAGCTCTCTGAAGCTGAATGGTCCCTCTGGAATCTCACTGGGTTCTATTTCCGATGGTGAGGTGCAGGCAGCTGGGTACTGACACTCCCCAAGCTCTGGGGGAGGCACGTTCAGGTACTGCCTGGTTTCCTGCCTCCCCGACACGGATTTGTCCATGGTGATGATGATCACCTCTTTCCCTCGCGCCTTACAGGCGTTCAGCAGAACCTCCAGGGTCTCTCTGTCTGCAGAGTTTATTGCATACACAAGAGCAGAGCAGTTGGAGTGGTCAGGCAGGCTTGGGTCCGCCCCACTCATGAGCAGCAGAGACACCACCTCTGGGCCCGCTCTGCCCAGGCATGCATGCATCAGGGCCGTCTTCCCAGATTTGTCCTGGATGTTTGGATCAGCCTTGTTGTCCAGCAGGTACTTAACCATCTTAGCCTTGCTGGCACTCTGCAAGTCCACATGTTCAGTCATACAAGCGACCATGAGGGGGGTCTCCCCTCTGCTGTTGCTCTCGTTGACGTAGGCACCCCCATCGATCAGCAGCCTGGTGAGGCGGAGGCGTCTCTGGTACACGGCTTTGATCAGGGAATACCCCTCTGGTGGCACCTCCACCGCCTCCATCATCCTGCTCATCTCACCTTCACCCTCCTAGGGGCTGCAAAAAAACATCTACCTTCTGTAGAAAGCAAAGAGGTCCCCCAGAGAAGAGAAAATAGGGAAAAAAAAAAAAAAAGAGAAGGTTTAACTGTACAAATTGCTCCTGCAAACACCATCATATTGTGAGAAAAGAGTATGAAGGGAAGAAGAAAAGAAAGGTGTCCTCACCCTCTAGACTTCAAGAAATACATTAAAAACTTTAAAAAATACTCAAATATAAATATAACATTTCTAGAAAGTTAGAGCATGGCTGTCACCTTTTAGTTTCTGACACTCTTTTACACAGTCCTCTGCCTGAGCAGACTGTATCAGCTCTACAACAAAAGAAACATTTGAGAGCATGAAAGTAAATCAGGAGATTTCACACAAAAAATTAAGAACTTAATGTGGCATAAATAACAAAAGGCCTTGTATGAATGTATACCTGCATACATGCAACTAACAATTCTTACATGTACTTGCTTACCCGTGTGTAGAGAAAACCTTTAGAGAAAAAAAAATCAGTATTTAACAACTGGCAGAGTAATTCAAGTACAAGGTTAGACATGGATATGAAAGTTACATTTGTTTATTTACAGTGTATTTCTAGAGAAATAAATATGTTTAACTGCAAAGGGAATTAACAGAGACTCATTTTTATTCATCACTGAAAGCACTAGTAAAATTTTGGTAATTAACTGAAGAGCAGTAAGTTCGTTCTGTTTTACTTCGAATTCAAAAATCAAAATGTGATCTCAATGTAGTTTGTTCCAGAAGTACAACAAGCAAAACTAAAAGCGTCAGATTTCCTCCCTGGAAATCTGAGGAGAAAATCTCACTTTGACTGGTGGTTGGGCTTTTCCCCCTCTGTCTTGATAAAACATTTTTTAAAGGTAATTGCACTGAAATTACTTTAAGGATTCACTCCATTATACTGAAATTACAGGATTCAGTACTGTCTATCTCAGCTTTCATTGAAGTGCAAATCATTGTTACGATTTTTATGTGTACTTTTGACAAATAACGTATGCAGTATCCGATCAATCTGTGCGCGTAGGTTTCCAGAAACAAACTGCAGAGAAATATCTTGTAGATAGCAGACATGTTGGAATTCTGATTGTGTTCTCCCTTGGGTTTTTTCTGACTTACCTGGAAGTCCTTGGTGTTTTTACATTTCTTTCCTATTTATCTAGAGCTCCTCTGACACTTAACTGCTCACATTACTTACGCAATGGCACATAGCTCTTCTTACATAGGAAGAGCCTTTTCATTTGCAGAGATACCTTTTATGGCCAAAAGAACATTGAATGTTAAACAGGCATGGAAAGAGGATAATGCTACCTGAGGTCGTGCAGCAGGTCAGTAATGAAGGTGAGGCTGTTTTTCTGACATCTCATCTAATGCCTCCTGTTGCTTAAATTTGCTGTTTCCGTAGACTTTAGCAGGACTGTTGATGTGAGTGAGGACAGCGTAAGGCTGGCCTAAGACAACAGCTGAAGTTGGAGAGTTAGGAGTAGATGATGTTGCAAGGTACGAACCTGCCTGGAGAAAGCCTGAGATGTTTCTGTGCAGAGAAAAGTGCAAAAACATACATGAAGTGGGGAACAAAAATCTACAAATACTTCAGAATCAGACACTGAACGAACAATAGAAAGTGTTACAGATTCACAATGGGAACAATACAATGCAGAGCATGTTTCTGAGTGCTGGATGACAACCACAACTTCATCTGGAGCATTTGTTAATCACAGGAGGGCGCCTGGGGCTGTGTCATCCTAAATTTGTCACTGTGGGAACAAAGTGCAGCTAGACTTTCACAGGACCCACACTCTCATGTGGGAGTCTGGGAATACATGTGCCACAGCTGAACTGGGTACAACCTGCTCCAAAAACCTCACAGCTGAAGTGAAAGACCACAGTCCAAGCAGTAATTGGACCCCAAAAGAGTAATTCTGTGATAATACATCGCAGATGGATACTCAGCAGATTGCAATTGTAAAATATTCCTAAATGTAATTTACTGCAATGTCAGAATGACACCATGTGTTCTTAAAAGGAAACAGTCACTTCTCACCTGTGAGGGTAAACTTCAAAAGCAGTTTAAAGTTTTAAAGCAGTTTAAGGAAATGAGGAACGATGCAACCCAGATACTACAAATCCAGATACTGAATCATGGACTGGTCTTTCAGATAACCCAAAAATTCCTGTTGTCCTTGTACAAAAAATATTCCTGCAATGCTTTATCTGTCTAGGAAGAGCTGAATTTTATTTTCAAAAAGTAGTATTGTCCTGAAAAGTGCTCTGAGACAAAGTAGCACAGGGTACCTCCTACTATGAAAATATGTTTTTGAATCTAACAGTCAAAATAATCACAACACTGAGGGGGGAAGGAGCACATCAATGTTAAAATGTATAGACAAATATAAAAATAACCAACAGTTTCATGAGTGCATGATATGAATGAAGGAGTTCTTGCATAGTGCTCCTCACCTTTTTAATGTGAAAGCCAGATTTTCTGCCGTCAGAGTTCATCAAGCCCTCACGGTTGTGTTTAGAGAGTCTAGAATCATTCCAGTAAAATTGCCATCGATTCTCATCTCTGAAAAAAGACTTGCTTACAGGCTTGAAGAGCACAAGCATCTAAATATTTCTATGACTCTTTGCATCCACGTTAACCCTGGCAAATTCTCTTTGGGATAGCAAAAGCTCTTTCCCTAGTTGAAATTTAGCACAAATTAATAACTTGTGATTTGAAAAAAAAAAAAATTACCTTTCCAACGCTGCCAAAACTATTCCACGACCACCCCGAAGTTGCCACCGCAACTTGTAACCCGAAGGCTCCAAGCGATTCCCTGAGGGACAGTCGGGGAAAAGCAAGGAAACTACTTGCGGAGAAGTGGCAGCGCACGTTGTAACACCATAAACACGACAAAGACTAAATAAACGCTATTAAAATGGCTACGAAGCAGCTATCAAAAGCCGTACCCCGCCATCCCCCCGCGCCGCCGGGGCAGCGCCCTTACCTGCGGTCGGGACGGAGCGGCCGCTCCTCGCGCAGCGCCGGGAGCGACGGACGGCGGGACCTTCGGGAACACCGGGACACCGAGCACCTCCCCCGGCACCGCCCTCGGGCCCGGGCGGGCACAGCCGGGCGGGGGGGCAGCGCCAGGCCCCCACCCCCTGCACGGCCACAGCCCCCACACAGCCATCCCCCGCCTTCGGTACCCTCTCGGACCCCCAGTGTCCCCCTCACACCCAGCCCCACAGCCCCCCCACACCCCCAGGGACATCCCTCAGACCCCCAATACCCCCGTCACACCCAGTCCCACAGCCCAGCCAGACGCTCAGTAACCGCCCTCGGACCCCTAATACCCCCCCTCACATCCAATCTCACACCCTGTTATGGCCACACTTGCTCCCCCTCACACCCATCACCTCAAACCTACACCTGCTCACATCCAGTCCTACATTCCCCCAGCACCCCACTTCAGACCCACAATACCCCCTCACACCCAGTGCCCCACCCCCTTATGCCCACACCTGCTCACCCTCACACCCATCACCTTAAAACCACTTCCATATCCCCTCACACCCCAATATCCCCCAGTACCCCCTTATGCTCAGTCCCACAACCCCTTATGCCCATACCTGCCCCCCCTCACCCCAAACCTGTACCCCACTCCCACACACAACCTGGCTCTTTCCTACCCCCACCCCCACTCCTGACCCCTCCCCACACCTCCTGACCCCTCCTCACACCTGCACATCCACCTTCACCCATACCCCTCAAACCCTCCTTCAGCATCACAGCCCCCACATACCCCCTCATGCACACACCTCCTAACCCCTGACCCTTTCACCCCATGCCCCGTCCCCCCCACCTTGCACCTTGGGTCATTTTCCTCCTGGACAGGAGTGTGGCCACCCCCCTGGTAACAGGGACAACACCAAGCTGTGTTTGCTCTGCTCAGGCATCTCCTTCAGGAGCAGTGAACGGTAGAAACAACCCACCCGAGACCTTCTCCACTACCACACTGCTTCTCACCACCCGGGGCATGGGTTTAATGGCTTTATCAGGAATAAGAGGAAGCTGAGCCTGAGGAGGTGCTTCCCTCAGGTATGCCCCAGTTTGACTTCTCAATAATTCCGGTCTGATTTCACTGGCTAAAATCCTGAGAAATTTCAAAGCATGGTCAAAGAACCTTCTTGATTTCAATGCAAGTTTAGGACACCTTCACAGGAACACAAACTGGTTGAGGTTGGAAGGGATCTCTGAGGGACATCTTGTCCAACCCCCTTAACAAACAGGAACAGACATTTCTTTACTGTCTCCAGTGACAGAGTCTCCACAGCCTCTCTGGGCAACCTGTGACAGCACTTGGTCGCCCTCACTGAAAAAATGTTCCCTGATATTCAGAGGGGAACCCTTGTTCCAATTTGTGCCTGTTGGCTCTTGCCCTGTCACTGCTGGAAAGGGCACTGTCTTCTTTGCATCCTCCTTTCAGGTTGGTAAGACTCCCCCTGAGCCTTCTCTTCTCCAGGCTGACCAGGAGCAGCTTGTCTCAGTCTCTTCAGTTCTGACAAAGGTCCTGTGAGGTTCTTCTGGGGGGCAGTGGCAAAGGCTCTACTGAAATCCAGGTGGACATTACCCACACTCTCCCATCACAGCCCAGTCAGTTCATCGCAGGTCATGGGGCTGCTCCAGCGTGACTCCCCATGGAGCAGCCAGCCTGACATCCCCATGACCCTGCCGTGACAGGACTTTTTGATGGTATCCCAGGGACTCCAAGGGTGTTTTGTTGCAATGCAGTGCTGTTGCCTGCAAACACTGTTTACTGCAGGGCCTGCTGTGCTGCTGTTGTGCAAGGGCCTGTTCTCCCTTTGAAAAGGCACCTGCTGCCACCACATCGTCACCTCGGTGTACAGTAAAAGTCAGCAGGTGAATGCAGCAAACCAAGTGGGAAGGTGGGGGGCAAACTGACAGCAAACCCAGCCATCATGGCCAGTACAATGAGCAGCATCCCAGCTGCAAAGGGCTGTTTTAGGAGAGAGAAGTTTCCAGGAGGAATGTGAAGGAGATTTGTGCCATGCAATTTTTTTAAAGTGCATGTCAGGATCAATGAGAGATCATCATGACTAAGAGCTAGACAAATGGTATGAATAAGCCACTAAGACAAACAACATTCCAAGAGCAGGTTCCTCAGTTACTCTTTAACCTTCTATTTCAAAAACTAAGTTGGGAGAATGTCCACAGAGGTTTTTTCCCTGTGGTAAGATTCTAATTATCTTTGTTTTCTTTTCCTCTCTGTACATCATCCACATTCTTAATACTCAGTCTTTGCCATGCAGCCTTGGAAAGGCATGTGTATTGAATATCCACTCTGCAGGAGGTTACTGCTCTTCTCAGACCTGTTGTTGGGTGAATTATATGAATTACGGAGGCAGTGTACACTTGAATGTCAGCACTCGTGCAGCTGAAACATCTTCACTCCTGCAGTTCCTGCAGCTCTCAGTGTGCTCTTCCTGATTCCTCCGTCCATCCTTGTGCTGTCGTGTTTATGATAGCCAACATGAATCATTGACCAAAAAAAAAACCACAAAAGTGTATTAAAGCAGCCCTTGGAAGACTACTTTTATGAAGATAATTAGATTTTTTTCTTATAAATGTCACCATGGCTGCTGTTGGCTGGATATAAAAAACAACTGTTGGTAACAAGAAATTTATATTAACAGTGGAGGAGGGTGAAAAACCAGGGCAGGGAACACATCGGTGCAGCACAAGTTTTATTATAAAACACAGAAGATGTTTGCATATGCACACGGCGTATTTATCACACTCCTTGATATTCTTCTCCTACATTTCACTGAGAGTTGGGCTAGATGGATATCTGGTAGGGGAAAGTTTTGTGCTCACAGAATTCTAACATTCATTTTAATTTACTGAAATGTTTGCCACAAGTGAGTGTTTTAGGTCACTCAAAGAGTGACTGGCAAAGATATCAGCAAAATCAGGTTTAACATAAAAGTGAAAGAACGACAAAGTTTGTTGGCGAAGTTCACTCTACTACTTACTAGATAATTAAAGCACATAGAGAAAAAATGGACCAAAATCTAAAATCAATCAATCTAAAACTAAGATCAACCAGAAATTATCTATGTGGAGGCTGGGGTCAGGGAAAAGGGTAAGTATGGGAACAGGTAAGGATCCAAAGCAATAAGGAAGACCCTCCCACTGAGTCACAGGTTCAGAATGGACTCCCCTGCCAAACTTAGCCCCGGACTTGACCCAGAGTATAGGCCTAAAGGTTTTGACAGTACTTAAACTTAACAGCACTGAATCTATAGCCTAATTTAAACAATTTAACTGAAGATTCTATAAAATTTACTAAAATCACAACAGTAACTAACCTACAGGCCTGACTTACTGATCTAACATACAGAAGAATCTGAGAGCAGCATTCCCAGCACATTTGCTGTAGCACATTCTCACTTGCACGCAGACCTGAAGTCTGTACATGTACGTACAGATGAATTAACAGGTTTATTTCTGCCAAAAATCCCCCTTGAGCTCAGCAAAGGACTGATACAGGTGCCTTTGCATCTTCTACAGGGGTAAAGGGCTGAGCCTTGAGGAGCTGGGGATCAGCCCAGGCTCCAGCCTTTGTCCTTCCAGTGCAGCAAAGGGAGCATTCCTGGCCTCAATGGGCCTTGCTCTGAGGGGGACACTGGGCTGGGCACAGCCCACTGAGCTCCACGAGAGCTCCCAGGGTCTCGCTTAGGACGCTATTTGTGGGGTCACAAGAGTGGGTTTTAATCATAGTAACTTTCTACCATTGACTGCAATTCAGGTAGGTGACTTTCTTTGAAAGTTCAGTAACAAAAATGCTGCTCCATTTGGGTCAGGCAAGAAAAATAAATTTCCAAGGCAGTTCATTAAAAAGCAGGAGCTCATTAGCCAGCACCCTTCCTGGGAGCAGGCAGTCTCTGATGAGGTTAAGAGCAGCTCAGCCCAGGTGCTATCTGTCAAGGCCAAATCCTAACGAGCAATTCTGAGATCACAGTGTGGCTGAGGTGGGTGGGGGTGTGTGCAGATTCTTGATGAACTGTGCCCAAACATGGACAGGCAACCAGTGAAACAGTGAAATTAAAGAACGTGCTAAGTTTCCCGGTGGGCAGCTCAGTAACCTGCTAGGAGCCCAGAGCTGGACAACAGAGCTGGAGCCCAGGAGCCTTGTTTCAGGAGTTGAAGCCTCAGGCTGTGCACACCTGAGCCTGGACTGCCTCTGCTGGCACTGCCAGGGTGTCTGAGCACTACCAGAGGATGTTTCCTCTGCCTTTGGGGATCCTGGGAATCAACTCTTAGCTGTTCCACTTTGTTTGTAGGAAAGAAAAAAAACAAAACCCCAAACCAGGAAGAGTTTGATTTGATCTTAAAAAACCCCTTCGTTTTAGATTTTGCTTCCCAACGGAAAATGTAAACACTTTGTCATGTCTGTTTGGCACTGACCAGCCTTAGCCTACAATAGCAAGAACTGATTCAAATGGAGGAGGAGCCATGATTGCTTATATGTGTAATTACTTACCTATTAATGCATTGGTGTGTAAATTGTTGAACATGGTATAATGTAACAAGTCATTCTAGTAATTTAATTGCTTTATTATGTATTGGTG